GTGGAGCAGTCTGTATGGATTGTTTAACGCTGCGTTTTTCAGATACCGTATATTTTGTCCGCAATTAATCTTACTGGCAATAACTTACTCCTCTATGCATCACCGTGGAGCGCACCAGGTTGGATGAAAACAAATGGCCAAATGAAGGTAGGCTTCACACAGATAATTTAAAGTCGTTTATGCAAATTCAGAGGTTTTTGGAAAGCTGCAAAGTTGCGCAGTGCTGGAGGGCTCCAAAAAACAAGTCAATTTGTACATTTAGTTCGCTATGATTATCATTGTAATTTGGGAACTTTATTAAGGAGTATGCAAGCTCAGAAGACGCGTTTCTATCTAGAACAGCTTGGATAATTACAATAAAAAGGGTCAAATCATCTCGAAAAAAGTGGTCAATTCGCTTTAGGGTGGAAGTAGAGTTGGGCCTTTTACGTTGGCCACACCCTAGGTTAATCCGAATGGATGTGTAGCAAGAGGCTAGGGACTTCTGCTACTGCTACCAAATCGAAGCCTCGGAATTTTTTTTTGCATTTCCTCCATGTCTGGCGGGATGTAACACGGAAAAGCTACAATGTATTATATTTTAGGCATTCATGTGATACTTCCTTGTTTTAGATGATACAACTGAGAATTGAAAATATTCAGGGTGGAGGAGCTCTAATCGGTGAAGTAAACGGCAAATACTACCGTTCGTACGCTAATTACCTGATAAAGTGAGTCACATTAAGCTTTTCGTTTCCAAATAAATTTTATGAATGAATCAGAATCATTGAATGCTCGTCTCGAAAAAAAAATCACTTTCAAAATCAGTCACTCAAAAATCAATCAAAATCACAAAACTTTGAGGTACCCTTTTTAAGTTGAAAATAGTGTGAGAATGAAGTGGAGAACAGAGTGAAATAGCAAAAGAATCCGTAGAATTCAGGGAATTTGAGGATTCTAAAGGGTAGTGAAAATAGGGGTGTAGGAGATGGAGAACGTCCTTTGCGCGCGTCCAACGAAAGTAGGTCACCCCGCCCACTTCGCGCGCCGCGCACCCCACTGAGGTCTCGAAACGACAATACAGTACCACCATGTGTCAGTGAAGCGAATGATTTGTATTTGTCCGTGATATCTTCCCTTTGGCTCACTGTCGTGGACCTAGCGCAATCCGTATGCCCCACAGACAATTGCGACGTTTGTCAAAGATCGCGGGCTGACCTGCCGCGCGCGACGGCTGCGGCGTGACCTAGATTTGACGGACGCGCGCAACGAAGCGCACCCGTAGAAGAACACGATGACGGAAGAGAAGCGAGGGGTGTTTGTACGAGATTGCACTTGATGAAAATGAGTAATGAACTGGCTAGATCGAGCGGAAATTGCACAAGACTGTCTTCAGCGTCACGATTATTCACGTTGTTCATACTTGTATGAATTCCTAACATGGCTATCAGCCTCTACAACTCCGTTGAAACTCGTCCGTCTATGAGTGTGTATGTCAACAAAGTCAATCCTGGAGCTCTTATTGCGCCCTACTGGAAAGTTGTACCCAAAACACCCATCAGGTTTACTCGGAGGCCACAGATTCGTTCTAATTGGGAATCTTGGAAACCAACCTTTCGCAAACTGTTGTCTCAAAATGCAGCAGTTACTAGTTGATCGCTATTCCCGGCAAATCTACACCTAATCCCGTATTTCAGATTCTTTGAAGAGTATGCCAAAAATGGCGTTCCATTCTGGGGGATGACACTTCAAAATGAACCGACTTCGGGGGCTCTGCCTTTCTACAAATGGCAGGCGATGCTATTCACTGCCTCCATGCAACGGTGAGACGCAAAATGTACTCCAAAATCTTCCTCATCTACTATTGTTTTTCAGGGATTTCGTTAAGGTCACCCTTGGTCCCATGTTGAAAAGCAAGAATACAACAAAAGATTTGAAAGTAATGGCGTTAGATGACAATCGAATCTCTTTACCCGGTTGGGCGGATACGGTGAGTGCTCTTTTTTCCAACAGCAGTGTCGCCGGGCTTTGCTGTGCGTAAATAACTCTTCGGATTCTCCTTTTTCCCAGAAAGCTCTACACCCTCAGTATTGGCTCCGAATTGAGAGCGATTTTTTTCTGTAAACCATCTTCGCNTTTTTTCCAACAGCTGTGTCGCCGGGCTTTGCTGTGCGTAAATAACTCTTCGGATTCTCCTTTTTCCCAGAAAGCTCTACACCCTCAGTATTGGCTCCGAATTGGCGCGATTTTTTCTGTAAACCATCTTCGCTGTATCCGGTAAGAAATCGTATAATATCACAAAGGCGATTATTCAGAGAAAAAAAGACAAATGGGTTAAGGAAGCATACCTCCGCGAAATTTTCGTGCAATTGGAATACTTTGAACAACCTATGACCAAATTGTCAATTTTCGCGCAAACCCCGCCCCTGTGAGTGAGGTACTTCCCTGCCACCTATAATGAGTGTTCCCACCTTGGCACCTGTGCTCCTACCAACTTTGAGCACTATAGGTCCACGGGGACGGTAGTTATGAGTTTTCGCCCAAACCCAGCCCATTGTGGGCGGAGTTCTGCCCTGCCACCCACCAAAAGTGTTCCCATCCTGCCGCCCTACCAAATTTGGACGCTTTCGGTTCACGGGGACAGGAGTTCTGTTTTTCTGGTAAGACAGATACACATACACACCCACACAAGCACACCAATAGACACACATAGCCGATTATATAAGTAGGGTTAGCATTTCTCATTTTCATTTATAGAAGCTTAACATGGATATTTCCTGAGTAAAAATAACTAAAGCGCATGTGCCCTATTCGATAAGAGTAAGTGAAGTTTGTGCGAGCTTCTATGCTTGAGTGATTCTTTTAGGGTGGTACATTTCTTGGAGGGTAACGGTACTCCCACCCGAATTCCTATGGCAAGCCGCAGTGGCCTCGCGACAGTTTCCGTATCCTTCCGCTGAAACTTGGAGAAAAAAAGAACTATCCCTTTATATAGGACAACTGCGATCAGGTTCGGGTAGAAGACGCCACTCACTCTCACCTCCTTCAAACCCGTTACTTCTAACCCGTATCTCCCTTGAGTAGTCTGTCTCCCATCGGAATAAGCTAGCACATGAGTCGAAGCAACTGTCGAAGTACTGTCCAGCTAATCACCTCAGAGGCAGTGGGTACCACAGCCTAAATAAAATGAAGTGGAGTTGCTAAGTGGTTTGTCAGTGGTGAAGCATAGGAGGGATCAGTCTGGTAACGACTGGTGACCAGCATGATTGGGATATAAAGACTAATCTTCTCGGATGTAGTGATTCCTTTCTAATGCGGTGTAAGATTTCGAATTTTGATCGAAAACAGGCAACCGGAAAACGTGCTCTTGTGAGCAATGTGAGTCTAGAGATTTCGATTGGTTAGGTTTTCGAAAGGAAGGTTCATCTCTAAACTTTGAGAATTGTAGAAGGAGCAGAACAATGGCATCTTTCATAGTCCACGACCGGTCACTAGCGAATGGCGACCACTCGCGCGACCCATCTCACGACCGATCGCGCGACTGGTCGCGCGACCGGTCGTGGACTATGAAAGATGCCAATGAATTGTTCTGCTCCTTGTTACTAAACAGTTTAGGCAGGATGCGTGCACAAGAAAATTAAGAGGAACATCTGGTAAGAAAATCATTTCTCAGATAACCTTCTTTTCAAGATCTTCAACGATCCAGAGGCTTCCAAATATGTGGATGGAATCGGCGTGCATTGGTATCTCGATGCTCTCATGCCGGCTTCTGTATTGACAACTACGCATAATCGGCACCCCGAAAAGTTTATACTTGCCACAGAGGTAGTGATGAAAACCACACAATTTGTACAAATTAAATACATGTTTGTCCACACTTTTTAGGCATGTGCTGGAGCCTTTTTCGGCCACAGTCCAATCTTGGGAGACTGGTACCGTGCGGAAGAATATGCTGTCAATATAATAGAGGTGATTTTTCTACTTTCTATACTTTCGAGGTTTCCCATACTATTGCTTAAGTGTAGGCTTCTTTACCGGGAAATCCATTTATAGTCTGCTTTAGAAACATGAACTGTTTTGGGACGAGATGGTGATTTATTGGTGCAGGATAGTTCATTTATGACGGAAAAAATATGAGTGACTTCGAGTTTGGAAATATGAAGCTTTTCGACTTATTATTTTTGGTTAACGGAATTTCTCCCCGAATTCCCACGGCCTGCGGCAGTGGTTCCGCGGCGACTTTCCGTACCCTTCCATTGAGAATTCAAATCTTTCCCTTCATAGCGCGCGATCGCGTGCGGCAAGCGCGGCACGCCGTTCGGGGAGAAGATGCCAGACCCATTATTTCTAGCGTTGGACGAGATTATGATAAAAGAGTTGTTCGTTCGAGATTTCAGTCGCTGCAGCGCACTACGTGTTAGCTATTAATGTGTACCAGTTGAATGCATATAAAATAAACGTGCTCCATTCCGAATAGAATCGTTCCCTTCGATTGAGAGCTTTGAGTTTCAGTAGGCGGCAGTAGCTGTTTTTTACCTTTCATTGCACCTGATCTAGACCGCTTCTAATCCAGTCTATCCCGAAAAAGCCTATGCATACCCAAGAGGCCACATATTTCCACCAATAAGAAACCGTTAAAGCCATTCTCATAGTGAACTGTGTGTTTGAACGCAAATTCGGAAAAGAAATATTATAGAAATGAAGATTTTCTGTACTGACTTCAATTCCTTTCACGCCGTGACCACTATATTCCAATGTAGTTGACTCGAGCCACTTCCTTCATCTGAATCTTTTGTCATATGTGATAAGTGTGGGCCCCTGCAAATCATTCTTAAAGGCACAGTTCACGATAAAAAAAAATAGCTTTTGAGATATCCTTCTCGAATGAATCTGTGGTCTCGTATACCATATGTAGCGCTGTCACTTCGAAAAATGGCCTAGATAGGGCATTATAAAGGCTCGTGGATTGTCCCACTTATATCCTCGGACGAGTTTCACCGGCAATATGGAGGCTGCACCGATGACAAGAGAACCCTTGAAGGAAGTCCAAACAACCTGTCATGATCAATAGCGACAACGAAAGGCAAGTTGAAAAGTTTGGCTTGATGTCGTCAACTGAAATCAACTACTAATTGCGCAATTGCGACAACTGAAATCTCGTCCGAATACTCTTTCATGTCATTTCCTTCATGATAGTCTCGTACAACCTCTATTTTCACTACTTTTGAGGAGCCTTATTATTTATAACATCGTCGAATTCTCTCGCTTTCTTTCCACCAATGCACTATTCCCAACCAATACTTCCGCTTTACACCTTCAAAAGGGTGTACCTCGATATTATCGTGAGCTCTGCCTTCAGAGTCGAACGTGATTCGAATTGAAGACCGAACGGTTAAAGCGTCTTATTATTCTGAATATTTTGAGGAATTCCCATTATTTCGAACATTTTGAAGGATTCTGAGCTCTTGAGAGGTCAGCGGGTAAAAAAAATGAGTCGCTCAGTGAGGCAGAAAGGGGTAGAAGCATTGTAAGGGCGAGATGGAAAGATAATTCGCGAAATATGAGATTACTGATGACGTGGAAAGAATGTGAAAAGGCATGAATGATCAGGCACTGGAATGAAAAAAATCTCGATTTCAAGTGGAAGCTCTCTGCTTAGTAAGTGCAAGAGAGGATGAGTGTGTTAGAACTTTCTGACAACAGTTAATGTGAAACTGAGATATACGAAAAGGAATGGAATCCTCACGAGAATTTTTGCAATTTTTTGATATTCCTGCTCTTTGGTGGTTTTGATACAGTTCGCCATGAGATTTTTCAGGATTTAAACAATTTCGTCACTGGCTGGACCGACTGGAACATCTGTCTCAATGAGCAGGGTGGTCCAAACTGGGTTGAAAATTTTGTCGACTCACCAATTATCGTCAACGCAACGTCGGACCAATTTTATAAACAGCCCATGTTTTATGCGATGGGACATTTCAGGTTTGTCGTTTCTTGTATGTCCAGATATACAGATAAGCAGCTAATTAAGAGCACTTCCAGTGCAGGACATCTTTATGAATCATACAATGGGCTTAATGCCAAGCATACCAAAAATACTGCCCTGCTTCAACTGTTTGATCTTGACGGCATTAGCTCTTCACTATTTGGTAGCTAAACTAATTAATGCGATAATGTAGAGCAATAATTGGCGGTCCGAAATCATCGGTATCTGTCCGGAGACCCGGGTGGATTCAGAATGTGGAATTGCTATTTCTGCTATGTTGGTAGCCTGAATCTTTGGAGAGTCTGTGGGTGCGATTGCTATCCTTCAGGTCGGCTCAACCGAAAGCTTCCTTTGAAGTTACTGGGGATTATTCGAGATGCAGGCTAGGGTGGACATCCCCCGTTCACTATTGTTTAGCTCGGATAGCTACTCTCAGTCTACACTGTTCTCACGGTAACCAGCCTGGAACACTCGTGGATACCCATGTGCCCGTTTATGAATGCATCATTTTCCTGTTTACAGACACAATACAGATAATTTTGAAGCACCCTCTTTTCCCTTTGAGCACAACGTTGGGAACCACGGAATGAAATCAGCGAGAAAGGTGAAAGACTGTCCCAGTTCGTCATTTCGGCCCATACCATCCTTATGACTTTGGGGATTTCTTTCAAACAAACAATCATTTTGCAGAAGTTCATATCAAAAGCATTCACATCGCAGAAAATGTGCCTGTCAAGGCCAATTTGGGAAACATTTGGATTGCACATTTCTATAGCTTTCCCTTCCTATGGCATTTTTTATGATGGATATTTCTACCATTCAAATTAGGTTATCTTTGAGTGCATGAAATGATTAAATTGTTGAGATTTAGCAAGTTCTTCAAGAAGGATAGCGTGCGTGTGAACACTGTGGTCACTGGTTCAAATGAAGTCCTCGCTACAGCAGTCGTCTACAAAGGTATTTCGTTGCTACAGCTCAACGTGCTTTCTCCTTTCAGTGCTTCTTGAAAATCCGCTGCCCGCTCAGGGTGGGCAAAATTTAGCTTGCTTTGAACGATCGCTATTTTGAAAGTTTGAATAACGTTGGTTTGAAAAAGGTGACTCTAGAATGANTCGTAGGCTTGTTGCCAACGTGTTGAGGTAACTTAGGGTCAGCAATCATTTATGTATTTCAGGTCGTCGTTCCGTTGCAGTGCTTAACAGAATGAGCTCATCCGTGGGTGTAACCCTCAACGACGTCACAACAAATCATCATCTCCATTTCGCCATGGAACCGCACTCAGTTATCACGGTGCTGTGGAATAAGTTGTGATACCTGTTATTCTGATGATATTGGTACTTGTGAAAAAGTCGTTTCACTTTCTGCAACCGCTAGGGCACAACGAAACCCTCCTCCCATAGCTCTCTCTGACAGTGAGAAAAATGTTGTAAATAAAGGCGTAATAGTAAACGTTCGATGTCTATCCAGTCTTGTTACTCTGCACTACTGAAACAATGGACTTGATCTCATCACCAGCAACGACAACAGTCTTCTTCTTATTATTCTTCAGCGCCTGTCCCGCATGTAAGCGGGGTGCGCTTTTCTGATGTTGACGCCACTTTTCCTGATTAAACGCTTGATCGGGGTGGATGTTAGCCGTTTTGAGGTCCTCGGTCTTCGTGCAAAGTATCGAGCCATCGTTGCTTTGGGCGCCCTCAAAGATTCTTCAAGTGACATTAACATTTCTAATGTGACGGGGGTGTTCGTAGTGGGCCGGCCTGTCGTCTGCATATGGTTGTCCGCGATCGGCTCAGCGCACGGAGTGAGCAGTTCTCAGTGACATCCCTTAGAGGAACGGACATCACCACCCAGCAACGACAACAGTAATCCCCGAAATTTCAGCTGTGCATTCAGTTGCCTTCACCGTTGATTGGTGGAAAGAGGGTGAGCTCAAAGAAGCTGTGCGAGTAGACTATTTCCATGCAGTGCAGGTCATGATCCTGCAAAACGCAGTGGCTGCTTTCACGGTCCGTCGGCGTGCCGNGGTCGGAGCGGTCGCGTCGCGCCCAAGCCCCTTCGAAGGGCTGCAAACAAAGAGAGACAAGATCAAAAACCATTTGCACAAGCTCCTGGTTGTTTTCTCTTTGATCTTGTTCTTCTTTGTTTTCAGCCCTTCGACCGACCGTCTGCCTCCCTCCTCCCCCCTAGCACTGCCTCGGCTGGCACGCCGGCACGCTCGCCGCTTTTATAATACATGCCGGTATGCCAGTTGTTGGGAAATTACGCACAAGCAACAGTTTCACCAAGGATGTAGTAATATCCAATGGCCGCTCGAAAGCAGCCATTGGATATTACTACATCCTTGGTGAAACTGTTGCTTGTGCGTAATTTCTAAACGACTGGCATACCGGCATGTATTATAAAATGTTACAAAGTATGTAGCACTATAAAATTACGTCCGAAAAATTCGGTTTTCTTGCGTTTCGTTTCATCGGCTTTTGATTTGCCGCATTCGAAGGCACTGCAAGCCAATATATATTTGAGCAATAACTTTAGCCCCCTAAGCCTACAGTGAAGACTCCACCTGGGAGAAAAGCAGGGCCCTTCGAACTTGGACGAATGGTCCGGAAGACAAGTAGGCGGATGAGAGACGGTTCCCTAGGCGCACAGCACAGCCCAGTACATCATATAGCTAAATCGACGGGAAAGAGCCATGGATCTCACGCCACGGCACAGCACAAAATCCATTTGAAAATATTCCAGACCATCGAGCAGGCGAAACGAAGCTGGTCGAATTTGGCTACGCCTGTGAAGATATCGGATTGTGACTGGTCCTAGCGGAGAAGATCTTCATGAGAAACGAAATGGAATCCACTTCTTCTTCCAGGATAAAGGGACGAATGCCTCTGAATCCTCTAGCTATCGTGTATCTGGGTCCAGAAATCAAAATGGTGAACGAAATGGCTTTGGAGCAGCAGAAGGAATCCGTAGCTTATGATTTTCGAGGCGGAATGATTGTTAGAAGCAAAACAGATAGCAGCAATGAAGTGCACTTAGCTAGTAGTCTCCATCAACTGCCATATGTACTGCAATGGCAATAAGAAGGTAATGGGTAAAAACTTGACGGAATTTATTAGCCTCAGTTCGTTATTGTGTGAAGGATTTTGCAAACCACACTGAGCGCACAGGTGTGATTGAACGATAACAATGGAGAGGAAGCTAGTAGTCTCCATCAACTGCCATATGTACTGCAATGGCAATAAGAAGGTAATGGGTAAAAACTTGACGGAATTTATTAGCCTCAGTTCGTTATTGTGTGAAGGATTTTGCAAACCACACTGAGCGCACAGGTGTGATTGAACGATAACAATGGAGAGGACGAACTGGATGGCAAAAGGAACACATTTAGGTGATCACATCAGAAGTGTAATGTGGTAACAGAATTCTTTGTCGGCATGATTTTCACAGTGTTGGAATGAGAAATTTTTGACTTTGGCTGTATTCCCCTCCAGATAACGAATCACGAAGTTAAGATGACACCACATATATTTTTTGATATTTAATTCGATTAAAATCAAAAACAGCAATAAACTCTGAAAAACCCCGTGTAGAAAAAATTGAAGTATTCTGAACCCACTACGCCTTGATTATTGAAAGATGGAAAGTCCCTGCAAAGAAAAGTTAAAGTAACATGAAGTGGATTGAGACATAAATCTTTAACAATAATTTTCCTTAAAAAGATTCTTGAAAATAAAATTTTCAACGGGGCTATTGAAAGTGAAGTAACACCCTATTGATATTCTCACGTGATTATTCCTCAAAATTCTGAAAAAAATGTTGTTCTATCCCCACTACAAGTTCTGTGAGTATCTTGAATACATTTCAACGTGCAAGAAACAGCAGCGGAAGGATTCCGTGAAATCCTTAATTTTCAGTAGAATAAGAAAAAAAAGGAAGTGAGGGATATCTCAGAGGTGGTGGCAAATGCAAGGGTGCTCATTTTGATAATATGTACCAATATTTTAAAAGTCAAGAATGACGGTAGGAATGTTCCAGCTCCCATGAGTAATTGTAGCTGAGGTAACAGTAGGGAATATTTAAAGATGTCATACTGCAGCCAGAATTTGAGATCTCCATAAGTCGATATCGCTCATGGTGGCCCGGAATCCACGTCTTCGAACCTAAACAAAACTTTATTTGAGGTCTTCGAATAGTTACATCGTAGAGAACAATTCACATCCATCATAGACATAACAGGACTTACCCTGTTATAATGGCGGCTCGATAAGTAATGAGCAAGCACTTCCAGGGGACCCTGTGTTCTTCTTTTACAAGGAGCACATTTGTACTTAAGTAACAAACCAAATTTACTCAAACGACAAGATTTTTTGTTCTATCAGAAAATGAAGAGAATCCCACCGTATTGATTCTATATTTGTAGAGGTTAATGAATTTCTCATGATTAACTGTGGACGCTAACTTCCGTAGTTCCTCCATTTCAGCTTCTAACTCTTTATCTGAATAAATGGCAAATTTTGTACATGGCTGCCACTCCCTTGGGGCAGACGAAGAATGAGGGTTTAGGCTAAACTTGCCTGTTAACTCTTGAGACCTCTGGGGAGCAGCCTGCATCAACATGATGTATGTATCAGAAGACGTCGGTTCATTCTTTGTATTTGGTAAGGATGTCGGTTTATTCTTTGTATTTGGGGCGGACGTCGGTTCATTCTTCGTTTTTCGTGCGGACGAAGTTGAGCTGTCTATCATTTCATCTACCAATTGACTGAATATTATTTGCATTTCTATCAAGGAAGTATGGAGTAAGCAAGAGCTATACTAAAAGAAAAACCTTACACTGCTTTAAGTCGCACATTCTTCAGCCGATTAAAGTATTCATTGAATTCTGAGCCAGTGATCTGACATTCCAGAAGAACCTAAAAGTGTACATGGAATGATCAACCTTCGAGAATATTATTTCCTGTGGTTTCGAGTCATGGAATCAGGTAGCAAACGCAAAGCTGTGATGCAAACTGTGACAAGAGAACATTGCCTACTTTGTTCTGATGACTCTCAAGTGCAAGATGTTTGAACACTTCGCTAGCTGCTGGCAGTCGAACGCAACAAAGCTGACAAACAGCCTGAACATAGTTACACTCTGAACGTGTTTCTTGATGCGTCATATACGTTGGTGGATAGGCTGAGAGCGATAGTGGTATTGTGTTTGATCCATGAAAGAGTTCCTTTAATAGCCTCAGAGACATGTCTGATGACATCACGCTCATGTGACGATTAAAAAAGTCGAGAGCTGTCTGATAATAAAAAAGAGATGAGAAGTAGAAAAGAGTTAGAGATCACATGTTGATTAGTCTGTCTGTATGTAAGTAGGAGGACCGAATGTCACAAGTTTGCTGAAGTCTTGCTCAAGAATTGTGTTTGCGTAGCTCAGTTCATTCCACTTATTTAACTATTCCATTCCACTTTGTATTTCTACCCAAGTTGTGCTCATTTCACACATGTTTCACTCTCGTCATCCCGCCTCCTCCCATTCCCCTTACCTGTGGGTAGAGTTCAGCTCAGTCGCTTCCTACTGCCTATCATCAGTGTTTATGTACTGCCGCTTTACTCCGACAAAGTTTGAGGTCCGAATAAGCAATTCCTGCTCATGCCTGCCCATTCTAGTTTGAAGCAAAGAAAACCGCGATTCTTTATCGTGCCGTAAACTTAGCGGTCGCGGGCGCCACCCAGCACAGTTTACGCCCGCTGTGGGCGGATTCCGGTCCTCCTTTATATCGTAAGTGTTCCTATCCTCCCGCCTGCGTTGCTACCAAATTTGAACCCACTAGGTCCACGTGATCAGAGTTATGAATTTTCCTAACCTCGCCCTTTGTGGGCGGAGTCCGGTCCTGCCACATATCATAAGCGTTCCAATTTTGCCCAGTTCTTATCAAAAATGAACGCTTTAGGGAAGCCAACGAAACCTACAGGCCCGCCCGTGGCATTTTGCCAACTTTTGCAAGGATTCGCTGTGTGACTTCTGTTGATACGATACCACGGCCGTACCTCAATTTCAGTCGGCACGTGGCTAGATCAAGAAGTGAGAGTTTGATTTGTGGTAATGATAAAGTAGGGGGCTCGTATTTATGGTGACCGAAGAAGTAGGGAGCTTGGATGAAAAGTCTTCTATGCGTACAACAGTCCCAAATAGGTGTCAAATTCCAATACTATGACTTATTCAGACCCTTACCAATTACCTAAATAGTGAGATGCTCGTAGTCAGAGTTTCTTGCATAGTCAGTTATTTGCTCCGATATGGTCTACGACTTTTGAAGAATCCCTGGGTTAGGAGCCTGTCACATATTTTGTGCGCATGTTTGACTTCACAGTAAAACTATCCATAGTAGTTAACAAGAGAAAAGCAGCAGCTAACAGTTAGAGCTTGATCATTTGAAATTATTTTCGGTAACTTTCAATGTAACTTTGTTGGCGCTGTGCTCTTACTGTACAATTTATGTAACATACTAATGCGAAGCAGAAGTAGGAGTTATCGATGCACTAGAAGAATTTTGAACTCCTGTATCACTAGTGGAAACCGAAACCCGCTCAATGTCGAGGCCCAAAACGCCACTGGTTTGGAAATGAGGGAATCTATAATGACGCTAAAAATGACGACAAGAACTTCAAATTCCTTATCAAGCCCATCCCATCACTGAAACGTTCAGGCATTTCAAGGCGCTTCGGCGAGAAACGGAGCTGATCGTATCGCAACAATCGGAAAATGTGCAAGGGCTTTCCAATTTGACTGGAGCTAATCGTTGTTCGATCCCAGACAATTTAATCACACGAACTATTTAATAGATAAACTTTCCCTCAACAAGTTCAGTTTTGATGACAAATTCGATACCATATCAACCCTAATCGTAATTACGAAGATTGCTTTTAAATTGGTAACATGGCACAGCTAAGCAATTGCATTTGTTTTCTTTATTGAATCCAGTCAACGGCTCCAACTCCTTTCACCATCACTCTAATCAAACTGTCTCTTCGCAACCCAAAACTATGCGTTTCGGTTTTTAGGCAGGGCCACAGCCGTGGTACCGTACCAGTAGAGTCTCGCAGCGAATCCTTGCAAAACTGGCAAAATGCCATGGACGGGCAAGTAGATTTTGTTGGCTTCCGCCCTGGGTCCGCGGGAACATGAGTATGAATTTTCGCTAATTCCTGCAAACTGTGGGCGGAGTCCGGTCCCGCCACAACTCACAAGTGTTCCCATCCTGCTTTTAGTACTCCCACCAAATTTGAACGCTCTAGCTCTAGAGGGGAGAGGAGTTATGAACTTCCGGTTGGACACACACACACACGAACACACAGACATTAGCGTGTTATATATAGTAGGATTTTTTAGTGAAAGACATCAGAAAAGTCTGCATATTTTCATGNAATGAGGGTTAAAGCTAAACATGCCTGTTAACTCTTGAGACCTCTGGGGAGCAGCCTGC